GAGCTGGGTCTGTTTGGTTGAGGTTGCAGGGATGCCCCTGGCAGACAGGAGTCACCCAGCCGGGGTTTCAGTGCTGTGGGTCCAGGTCACTGCCCCAGGGGAACAGCGGCTCCTGCCTCTGGATCCTGCTTTGCCCTCACCAAGTGCTCGGCAGCAGCTCTGCCCTCACGATGCCGTCTCTGATTTTTAATGCAATACCTCTGAATCTCGAAATGTATTTTTTTTATATAAAAATATAATTTCTCATGCGCCGATATCTTAAACTCCTGGCAATCAGAATTGTTCAAACAGCAGAACTTCTGGCCGCACTTCCGAATTCAAGGAACCCATATCAAAGGCAAACATATTACCACCAATTTCATGTACCTATCAAACACAAACTATCAGCAAACCAGAGCACGGTCCCCGAGCCGAGAGGCAAACGGAGCCTACCGCAGCAGCCGTGACACAAGGGAGCACCGGGACGCCAAACCCCGAGCGCGGCGGCGCCCTCAGGCCGGGCCCGGCTCTCCCCGGGCAGGCGCGGGCCGGCGGCGCCACCTCCTGTCCCCGCGGGCCGCGCTGGGCCCGCCCGGCCCGACAGCGCCGGCCCGGCACCGGGCTGCTGGAGCGGGGACCGGACTGCTGCTGTGCACACCGAACTGCTGCTGCGGATACCGAACTGCTGCTGTGCACACCGAACTGCTGCTGCTGTGCACACCGAACTGCTGCTGTGCACACCGAACAACTGCTGCGGACAGCGCCGGCCCGGCGCCGGGCTGCTGGAGTGGAGGCCGGACTGCTGCTGTGCAACCGAACTACTGCTGCTGTGCACACCGAACTGCTGCTGTGCACACCGAACTGCTGCTGTGCACACCGAACTGCTGCTGTGCACACCGAACTGCTGCTGTGCACACCGAACTGCTGCTGTGCACACCGAACTGCTGCTGCGGACAGCGCCGGCCCGGCGCCGGGCTGCTGGAGTGGAGGCCGGACTGCTGCTGTGCACACCCAACTGCTGCTGTGCACACCGAACTGCTGCTGTGCACACCCAACTGCTGCTGTGCACACTCAGCTGCTGCTGTGCACACCCAGCTGCTGCTGTGCACACCCAACTGCTGCTGTGCACACCCAACTGCTGCTGCTGTGCACACCGAACTGCTGTGCACACCCAACTGCTGCTGTGCACACCCAACTGCTGCTGTGCACACCCAACTGCTGCTGCTGTGCACACCCAACTGCTGCTGCTGTGCACACCCAACTGCTGCTGTGCACACCCAACTGCTGCTGCTGTGCACACCCAACTGCTGCTGTGCACACCGAATTGCTGCTGTGCACACCCAACTGCTGCTGTGCACACCCAACTGCTGCTGTGCACACCCAACTGCTGCTGCTGTGCACACCGAACTGCTGCTATGCGCACCCAACTGCTGCTGTGCACACCCAACTGCTGCTGCTGTGCACACCGAACTGCTGCTGTGCACACCCAACTGCTGCTGTGCACACCGAATTGCTGCTGTGCACACCCAACTGCTGCTGCTGTGCACAGCGCCCGGCCCAGCACCGAACTGCTGGAGCACCCGCTCTGGAGTCACCTTCGTACCGAGAAGGGCGAGTGTGCGTGTGTCTGCATAAGCCACATGCAAGCCAGCCTTTTATTTTTGATGAATAGACTCTTAATATTTTGCTCAGCAAAGCTTTATCTTAAAATTATCAATACTAAGATTCAATACTTTGAATATCACAACTAGGGAGAAAAATTATACATGACCTTGAATTTCAATCTCAATTATTCCTATAGTTAGTGAAAAATGATAATAAAATAAAACTCAATTGATATATTTCAGAATTCTGATATCTTTGGACTGTTGCTTCTGTTTAATTAAAAATATGTAATATTTTATCTTAGGTACACTTAAGACATCATTCCTGAAACAGTTAAAAATACTCAAGTGGAGACTGAAAAGGGGACCCAGTGCATTTAAACCCAGTGTGTTCTTAAAAAGTGCTTCCTTTGAATTAGCCATTTAAAATTATATAATGCAATCTGACAGAACTTAGTGAGCCACAAGGCAGACAGCAAAAACTTGGGATTGTCATACGCAGCTCAGCAGAGTTTGAACAGTACACTGGAACCACATTCTAAACATAAATGCATACAATACAGAGGTAAAAAAAGTACAAATCTAAAATCCATCTGTTTTTTAAAAGTCATTGTCTACACCACCTACTTGAGCACTGCAGTATTTCCACTGTATGCACAGAGTTACATACCAACATATACAAAACTGGTAGATTTATGTATAAAATTGAACACAAAGAGTAGCAGTCAGAAAGGCTAGGAATAGTCTGAACACCATAAGTTACACTGTTGTAAGGCACTTGGGCTTCCATTCTGTGATGGAAAAGAGAAACTGAACCCGTCAGAGAAACACCTGCTTATATAACTAGACTCCTCCAAATACCAGACAGCAGATTAGATCTTGAAATCTGCAAAGTCATCATTATTCTAAACTGTATTTGTGAAAATAACAGGTCTTAGTTTTATACATGAATTATAGCAGAGCTACTCCTTTCCAATAAAACAGAGCCATTCAGAACATAAACCAGCCCCAAATCTAAAAATAGCATTTAATGCAGCTACACAAAATTCTAGCAGGAAAGGCATTCATATCAAACACAGCCTGCAGGCTTGCAAAACAGAAGGAAACACTGCCAGTATTAGAAAGACACTGAGTCACTGTTTGTCATGGAACTTTCACGGGCACTCTCTCTCTGGTTCAGAAATGCTCATCCAAAATACGAGCTACCCCAACAAGGCACTACCACAGGAAGGAAAACAGCAGCACTAGCACCGACTACTGGGACTCATCTGAACTCTGCTTGTTGACAACCGCAATGAGATTGTTTACATTACATGCTCTTAAGACGTAAGAGAAAACACTCCTTTTAACAGTAAACTGTTGTATTTGTCATATAAATCCTGCACTCGGTCTCACACCAGGAATCAGTCTCATGACTTTACCCCTTTAAAGGGAGGGAGAGGGAAATGCCAGGTCACTCACACGTAAGGGAAAGTCCCTGGTATTTTCCACTCCAAACACTGCTTCTAGTTGTGTTTTTGCAGCAACCAAAGGTTGAATAGCACAAGACATGCTTCAGAAACAGACTTTGGAGAAAGAAATAGAGAAAGGAGAAAGAGTACCAATCTCTTTGCTCTTGTGACAGGACTTGAGGCTTGAAGCTGAGTGGGGGGATTTAGGTTAGATCAGGAAAAACCTCTTCACCTAGAGGGTGATGGGGCACTGAACAGCCTCCCCAGGGAAATGGGCACAGCCCCAAGCCTGACAGAACTCAAGAAGTGTTTGGACAATGCTCTCAGGCATGGGGTGGGATTGTTGAAGTGTGGGAGGCCAGGACTTGGACTGCATGATCCTTGTGGTTCCCTTCCAACTCCATGAAGCAATTCTCTATGAAATAAAGATTACAATATATTTATAACCCCACACTAGCACCTAAAAAGTCAAAACAACATATGCAATCAGGGATATACCTAATGAAAAGAAGACAAGTTTTTCAAGGAGCACGTTCACACATGTACACAGGCCCCCCAGGGAGTGTGAGGGAGCTGGTGATTTAGTCTCTTACTATTTATTAAAATTATACCAACTGTATATACCAATGAAAGAGGCTTTAATAATCTGTTTAAGTTTTTATGGGGTTAGAACTTGGAGATTACACAACACTTCACCAGTAAGAACTAGTTCTTGGCAAACATGCTGGTCAGAAGGACTCTGCTCACATGAATAGCAGTCTTCCACTCACCTATGCAGAATAAAGAATAATTTAGATTTGTCTGTTTGGATGTAGAAACATTAAAGGCCTCTCTTCATCATAATCGGTATTTTGAGAAGCTGTAACTACTGTTCCTAAAACTTTTTTGTTCTTGCTGCAATTCTTTTTCAGGTTGCTTGTGTTCAGGGAAGAGCAAGACTGCCTTCTGTTTCTGACTTCACAAAACGTGAAAGGGCCATGCAAAAAAGTCTTTCAAAACCCCCAGTTCCTCAAGTATATTTCAGCTCTTTTGCATATAAACAAAAAGTGATTTCAGACCACATGGAACTAGAGAGAAAGCCATTAATGCTTTAGGGTAAGGCTCAGTACATCAGAAGTTGAATGTAGGCTCTGGAGCCCAGGTTTTCTTTACAGTCTAATTTGAATTTACTCATATGAACATTTGGCACCAGAGACTGGTTAAAAGGAAGGAGTAAGAGACTTAAGTGCGTACAGAAATACAGTCAATCTTAAATTTGCTCTGCTTTAGAAAACAGTCCTATTGGACAGCTTTCACAAATTACCTTCCTTTTTCCCCCTTATTTTTTGGGATAATCCCAGAACAGGGATAGTATCTAAAGGGGTGGAGCTGACTACAGCTGTAGGTCTGCACAAAAAAGCCATTTCTATACAGACAGTGTCGCATTCTGTTAACATCACACCATTCACACTTAGAACACACAAGCCATCAGTGCAATTGTTAAAGATATTAAAATTATTCTGAGAGAATACTGATAGTCAAGATAATTCCCGATTTAAAAACCATTGTAAGGTTTCAAATCTTTGAAAGAATTCAAAACACCTTCTTCCTGAGAGCTGTGAATTTATACTTTCTCTTCTAACCACCCCACACAGCACTTCCAGGCTGAAAGAGCAAATGGGATTTCCTTGGATTTTCAGGCCCTTCCCGGGGACCCTCACGGGCCCGCGGCCGCCGCCTGCTGGCAGCTGCTCCCACACGCGGGTCTCCAATGACGGGAATTCTGCCTTCAGGAAAAGGGTTTTGTAGAAAGCATTAACGCACTGCTCAAAAGGGACTACCGCCACTGCTTTAATAGCAGTTCAACTGAAGCAGAAGACTTGGGGTTTTTTTTAATAGAAAATATGACTAAAAAGCTGTAGTAGAAGCAGTTTTTAATTTACCAAAACCTGGCATCTATTAGCAACAGAACATAGAGAAAAATATCTTTGTTTATACAAATAAAATTATGTTTTTAATATTCACAAAGTAACATAAAAGAGCGACATTTTTCTTCACATTGATAATTGTTAGTCAGAGCAGTTGTGATATAAAAGCTGTGTAAGCATTCAGTCAAGCACCATGGCAGACAGTGCATTAAGATCTCTCATAAATGGATGATTAGATAGTATTTGATCGATCTTCTGCCTTTGATCATAGTCAGGAAAAATTTTGATCAGGGCTTCTCTTAGCTGGGCTGTTTCTGAGGGAGATCTCTGTGATGGAATTGCTGGACAAGGCTCTGTGTCTTCTTCCCGTGGAAGCCACGGGGATGAACGATCATCCTGCACTCTGCCTCCAGGCTGTCGACCGCCACTGCTCACTTCGGGGAGGAAAAAGGGTGTCTCGGAAGAATATTGTCCACTGCTCTGCAAAGCCTTGTGTGTTGACCAGGAATCTCTATGGAACAAAATAATTCTTAAAATTAATTAAGCTAAAGGACATGCTAACTGTAGCCCTCTCTGTACATGAGAAAGAAAAGACAAATGTGTATAACTAAAACTTCCCTGCTGCTCATTGCAGTTACTGACTGGAATCAAATGACAAACATTCTTTCAAAGTGAAACAAAACAGGAGGTGTAACAGCTCTCGATATTAAATTGGCACAACTAACATTAATATCACCCAGGAATAGCCTCAATATGCTGTGAGTCCTTTACTTGGCAGATTATAGCAAATTTTATGAAGGTATAGATATATTGAACACATGTATACTGACGTGGAGCATGTGAAAATGCTGACAGACCAAAGGGGCTTCCAAGACTGCTTCACAAGAGACTATTCCTCATGTACTTTTGCTCTGGACAGAGCTGTGCTCATTTTTAGACCATTTTCCTTTGTATGGTATCCTTAACAGGCCAATGAAGTTGTTTTAGCAATCTCAGGATTTGAATACTCTTAATTATTGCAATTTCATTTCAGACTTTAAAGTTTTGCTACTCTAGTGCAAGCACTACAAAATATAAAGGTCAGCCTACTTCAGACACCAGCAGATACCAGAGAAATGTGAAGTGGAACTCATGTTAGAGTCTAGTTTCCTACCACCAAGGGAAACAGTACCTAAATTACAGAGCTCTATTTTAAAAGCATTTGGGTTATGACACCTCGAGTTACTCAGTGTGGAAAGGTTTTCTAACTGCTGAAGGTCCTGCCAGCTTCTGATCTTGTTCCTGGTGTCATTTGTATTTTCTGCATCATTTAAATCATGTAGAAAGTCATAGGGAAGGAACAAAATTAACTCTTTGCACTGGCAGCATTTCTCTGTTCTTCCTGGTCCACCACCCTTCCCCAGCCCAACCCCAAAACAAACACCAAAGCCTAGTTCCAGTTCCAAGTTCACAGATAAGAAACCAAGCTCTTCTGTGGTCTTCTCAAAAGACTCTCTACATTTCTACAATTATCACATTCGCCTACCTCAGAAGATTATTTTCATTTTATTTCTCTCAGACAGGCAAGTAAAACACAGTGCTTCAAATAAACATCTCAGAGGTTTTGTATAAGAGCTTGAATATTCTGCATTTTCTTCTGGAGTTCTAGCACTATACTTGCTTTTTAAATGTCAACACACTTATTTTCAAATCAGCTTGTAATCTATAGTATAAAAATGTTCTACTATCCTCAAATGTTTACAGTAGATGAGATTCTTGCTTATTCTTTCTATTAATCCTTAAGAATAGCTTGCCTTTTCTGTTGAGAATTTTAAAGTTACCTCACTTGTTTTTAAAAGCCCTCTCAACACTCCTACTCCTCAGAATTAATAGCATTTCCAATTCCTAAACTGGTGAAAGAACAGCATATTATCATCTTGTGCAAAAGAGCAAACTAATCCTCAAATCTTGGCAGTTCATGCAAAGCAAATTCGTACTTTGAATATGTGCACATTTAAAAAGTACATTACTTTTAAACGAACAACATGTTAATTAATATTTATAATTATTACTCAAATACAAACAGATTTCATAACAATGCCTCAAAAATTGTTTTGACAACAGTAAAGTACTCTCAACCATGAGGTGAAGTGTCTCCCCTTGACAAAAAAAACCCAAGTGCAAAGTGTTTGTAGCACCTATTGTCCCACCATGAAGTGACCAACCAAGGTGCCTTAGATAACATCAGTGTAATTAACAACACATATACTCACATCTCTGGCACCTCTGGGTGCTGTTAACACACCCATGCATGAAAGACACCACAGCCAAATCTCAGAAGAAGCTTTTGTCATACTTACCTCAATTCGCAGATAGCTCTCAGTTAGAGGGAAATGTCACCAGCAGTTTCTGAACCAACTGAAGTAACAGGAAAAACGTTGTTTTGTTTGTTTTTTTTTTTTTTTTTTTTTTTAACTGCTAAGTGCTACAGTGTTCCTGCTTAACTTTACTGTGCTTTACAGGTGTGCAAGTGAAGCAGGTGAACAGTTTATTTCAAATGCGAAATAACTGTGTCAAACAAAAGTGAAAATTGTGTTTATACCTAGAACAGCCTTCACTTCGAAGGAAGTCATCTAATCTGGGTCCATTTCTTCCCAGAGGATCATCAGGAACCATAAATATGTCACCAACAAAAGTGTACTGGAGCAACCTGCAAGAGAGCTCTTTTAAATAACAAGGTATTTCACCCTTGCTGTCCTTCACCTTTGGGGCACAGGATGAATTTCCTTAGGGTAGACACCACATGAGGAGTCCCTGAAGACTAATTAGTAAACCCAACTAAGACACAACCAGTATTCCAAGTCTAATTCCATGGGAGCTGTGAACTCTCCCTATTACACTGCAGAACACAGCTTTCCCTTTTTTCTTTTTTTTTTTTTTTCTTTTACAGCAACTTTTATGACAGAAAATTTGCAAAAAGACCATGGTGGAATTTTCCAGCAGATTAAGAGATTTTTTGGTTGTTCTAACTCCTTTTCCTTGCAAGGATCTTCAGTCTGTAGCTGAAATACCTGTGTTAGCAGAAAGCCACACAACTAAGAAATATAGTATTAAATGTTTACAGTTAAGACATAAAACTTTTTTTCTGGAATCACTTTGGGATAGGTAGAAATCTGCATTAAAAAAATCACCAACCCAGTTCAACTGAAATTTGTCTGCAAGGAGGAGATCTGGTACAGTGGAATTTCCCCAGAAGTAAAACTAATAGCAGATGTTAACACAAGCTCTTAAAAAACCACAGACTCAAGATGTCACGCCAAGTATTCTTGCTGAAGTTCTGTGGGAGGACAGAACCTGACTTGGGTAGAATTCACTCAAGAAACGATGTAAATGTCTACATGATCAGCCAGCATCAACTCCATGGTCTTGCAGCTATATTGTGTAAATCCAGGGCAAGTTTTTAGTTCCTTATTTCATTAGAGCTATACTGACCCCAGCCACTGTAACAGACGTACCCTCAGAAAATGTCAGGGACACTGAGGGATTAGTGGGAAATTTTACTAACAGAAGATCACACCTCAGCAGTAAAATAACCTGATTTAACTGAAACTGGAAAAAAAAAAAATCCCAAACACACAAACTCAACAAACAAGAAGAAACAAGCAGAAACAAAAGTCCACAAGATGAAGCAGGGATATTTGATAACTAAGTGAAGTCATCTAAACCCAAAGAACAATTGCAGGGAAATGGCTATATGGATATGCTGCAAGTGCTCATTTTGTTTAGCTGTGACAATCTGTCCCACTTGAGTAGAGTGATTGATTCTGAATAATTAAAAGTGACACTACATCCTCATCAGCTATCGTCTCCCTGAAAAAAAATGAGCTTTCAGACAAGAGAGGCTGTGAAAGTGGACTGCTCAAACAAGATCCAGCACTGACCTTCAGAAGTGACACACATGCTGTTACACCAAGCTCCTGCTTATGAGAGCAATGAACACACATACATGACAGAATGTATGAATAAGATGGACATTAGACTACCCAACACATGACTGTAAGGCCATGAATCACCACAGTGAGTCACAGAGTACTTTATTCGGATCTACCAGAATTGCATGACAGATTAATAAAATATAGCAAAATCCCACATGTAGGTAAGAGTGCCTACAACTGCAAGGACAGATATCCTTTTAAGACTTCACAGAAATCCAATTATTACCTTTTTTGAATAATTTCTCTCCAGGCAAATGATTCTGTCACAAATTCTCTCAAGTTATCATTAGTCACAATAACACCTCCAGTTCTAGCAGCAAGGTGTAACAAAAATCTGTAAAATTAATTCCAAAGATCACCAAGATAGTTTGTTTTGCTGAAAAAAATCCAAATATGTAGAAAACTAAACATTTCATCATCCCAAAGTAATCTATTTGCATGAAAACAAGCACCTTGATTGCCAGGAAATTACTCTATTTTTACCCACCTTAAACTTACAACAATGTTTTCCGCAGCATGCACTTATTTAGTGCAGCAGAGTCCGCATGGGATGTTTTCTTCTCCATTAAAAAACCCAAACAAACAAACCCACAGACGCAAAAACCCCCAAATCCCATAATCTAAATATTTGCACAGGTAAATGGCATGTTTTATGCAGTAGATTATTTATTACACAGTCCAAAGCAAACTCATTTCCATACACTATTTTGCTTAGCATTAATGTCTGTTCTGCATGTTAGTTATTTGCTCTGTCAACACTTCTTAAAAACCTTTCTGTTAAACTATGACAAAACAACTACTGATTTATTAAGAAAAAAAGATTTGCTTTCTTTTATAATGTCTCTGAAAATACATTTTTTGATATTTGAAACAATTTTAGCCACAAGATAATGGATAGTGTCCTTTTAAAGAAAGTGCATGCTTTTAACAAAAGTGCAAGTATGTTATTATAACACTTACTTCCACAGTAATCTCAACTGCACTGCCAGAACATTTCTTATGAAAGGCTGGGTATATATAAAACATTAATGAAGTACTAGGAAACTCCCACAGACTCCCAAAGCTTACTGTGTCTTGTTCACTGCCTGATGATCCGCACATTTTATAGTTGATCATTGGTGGTCAAATTAATTTAGAAGTTCACTTATGGCTGGCTTATGCATTGTTACAAAAACACTGCTCCAAACACACAGCAAGGTCTGCGTGGCAACATGGCACCAAGAAGAAAATGGAGCTAAATAGTATCTCAACAGCTGATTTATGCCCCAAGAATAAAAGACAACTCAGGGATAGAGTGATGACCAGAAAAGCATAAAAACATTACTGGAGGATTAATTTGTTCAGACAGCCTTTTTTTTTTTTTTTTAATTGCCATGAAAATTTGTAGCTCTCTGTGACTTTCTGAACACACAGTAGTGTTTCCTACAACAGTGAAATAATCTAACAGATGAAAAACTCAGTCTTAAGTTGGATGCATAACTCTGTCTAGAAAGGTTGCAGAATTAGCTAACAGAACTGCTTGTGAAATATCAAGCTTTTACAACCATTAGTCAGATGTTTGAAACAGCTTTAAAACTACACATATTCTGTACCTGTCATCATGAGCAGCAATTCTTGCTCCTAAAACCATCCTTGCAGGGGTTAAAGACAATATTCCAACATCCTCCAGCTGCGTTAAGAAATTCTGCTCTGTTAAAACATGATTTGACAATTAGTCTGAGATAAAATTAGCAGAGAGAATATGGGCTATTTTTGTACCAATTAAGCTGTAGAAATGACATTGACAGCTGAAGAATTGCTCATACAATAAAAATGGGGAAGGGGAGGTCAAAACTAGAAATTAAAGAGCAAACAAAAACCAACCCAAACAGACCTCCACTGATGGCACACCTGTTAGCCTAAAGAGCATTTCAGGGTCTCTCACACTGTGTATGGAAACCCAATTAGTGATGCTGAGCAGCCAGACGGCTCCTGCTCAGCATTTGATGAAACATTCCTTCTCCATTTAGTCTTCACAGAAGTACCCAAAGAAAAAGTTACAGTCTGGTTTAATTAAGGAAACATTAGGAAATGTCCCTCACCTGTAATGGAAGGGTCACGTCTCGTTCTCCACTGTGGAACAAACACAGTAATATTTCTGTGGCCACGTTTCCAAAAGTAGTCAACAGCTATTGCAATTCCTCGACAGGAGAAGAATTTCCTTAGACCATGACTGAGGGTGAAACAGAAGGGAGATTAATTTCTCTAGGGTTTTATACCAAGAAAACAAAGAAAATGGAACAAAACCTTGACAGGTGAAGCTGAAAGTCCCACATAGAGCCTCAGGAAAAGAAAAGGCAGATGGGTGTTAAAGATAAAGAATCTTCTAAATGGAAAGAGCTCTTCAGCAGAAGATAACAGATGTATCATTTTGCATCTTTATAGCTCAGCCTCCTTTCGGTTTCCTGGGCACAACAACAATGGAGTAATCAGAAGCATGTTTAGCTTTAAAAAAGAGGCCCATAGTGATGGTTTCTGAACTCAATTTATAGATTAAAACAAGAATAATCCAATATTGTAGTAGCTCCAAATACAGTCCTACTACAAAATAGAACACCTTTGGTTCAACTGATTACCAAGGATTACATCTGAACAGCTCTCTGATACTTTTGGGGCCTCCTCTCCCTTCATTTCAACAGTCTGAACAAGTGTTTTGAAGCAAAATAATGAAATTTCTTTAAAGAAATATTTTCAAAACATTGTATTTTGACATTAATATTTTTTTCTCCATTTAAAAATTTAAGATATTCATGATCTGTTTTTACAACTCCCTTACGTGACTTTCCAGAAAAAACAGCAACTGCCTAAAATGAGGGGACACAAAGACTTGAACTGATGACCTTGTGAGGTCCTTCCTAACTGGAATTATCCCAGTGACCCTATTTGCCTGTTTAACATGGCACAATTAACTGTCTAACCAGACTCCAGCCTTTCCATAGAGGCTACACTTAGACAAAACAAAGATATGATTCCCTAGAAAAGACACACTGATTGAGCACTGATGGTATGAACAGCCAAAGCATTTCTTGAAAAATAGTGTATAATCTGTGTTTTGAATTAGATGTCAAATCACTACAAAGTACTTTTAACAATAAGTGAGCAAGTGGTATTCCTTTTTTAAACCAGTCTCCCAAATAATAGGCAAGTGCTTATAATTAACCCTAATATAAGCCCTATTACTTTTGAACAGAATCCTATCTTTAAACCCTAGTTTAACCTACCAAAAAATCTTCCCAACATAATGGTGTTTGAAAGATTTTCATGGAAATATTTTACAGTGAAACTCAGCCCGAGTAGCATTCATTTATACCTTTCCAGTTTTGTAAATTCTGCAAAAAATATGTTTATCTAAATGTAAATCTATTAAGGTTCTCTGAATTTCAAGAGAAATTTTTTAATGTAGAAAAGAAGAAAAAAGAATAAGCCATATCTGAACTATAAAAGGCAAAAAAGATCTGACTTACTAACAGAATTTCCAGAGGGAAAAAAAAAATACTCTGCCACATTGTCCTTAATAAAATTAAGCATTCTTGGTGCCAAGAGCAGTCAAAAAAGGAAGGCAATTTTAATAGAAAAGTTACTCTTTGTAAACCTTCTGGGACATAAACTTTAAATGCAGTCATTATCCCATTAAAGTTAGGCATCCTATTCATTAAATGGGAAAACTCTGTTAAATATTTTCAATGAATTAATGGTTCTCAACTGGACTTCAAGAAATGCAGAAGTCTCAATATTCATGTCAAAATTGATGCTTTGTCTTCTTGTTCATCCTCCTGTTTTAGAACTCCAAGCTGGCTGAACTACAGTGTACTGTTTTTTAAGTGTTCTGAAGCTTAGAAAAACAGCTCCCAATTTGTCCTGGATGATCACAAAATCCTGCTCTGATAAAACTTAAAAAAGCATGCAAATAGAAGCAACTTTATCAAATAACATGTAGAATTAATGTAAGCAATAATATGAAAAAATATGTCAGCACTAAACTAAATTAAATAAGAAATGCTTTAACTGAGTTAGATAAACACCTGAAGGGACAACAAATCACTACAGCAAGATGGTCTTTTCAAGATATCCATCCCAAAGATTGTATCTGTTCTGCAAATTTCTGCAAATGCCATTGCAAATACTGCTTTTGCCTGTCCTAGTTCTTTCATATCCTGTGAAGACCCTACAAAGGTATTTCCTAAATTAAACAAAATATGATCACAAGCAGCACAAATCAGCAAAGAGCAGGTTGCCTTCTGGGACATGTAATATTTTCCCTTTGGTTTGTAACTAAAGTAAATACTGCCACAAATGAGTGGCTTGGCTGCTTAAAGAAACACTGTCAAAGGTATTGCCAAAGGCAGGGTTTGGTATGAATTTGTGAAAATATGGCTTCACAGAGTTTGGAGGCAACATTCACTCTTGTGAACTTGTGAAGAGTAAGCTCATTATTTTCTGCACAGGTTAAGGTATACAAAGATCAAATTAGAATCAGTTTGCACTGATTTACACAGAAGCCAGGAATGCAGAAGGGGGTGAGGGTGCAAAGCATATGGATGCAAAGGTAAAGGTGCATAAAGGTGCAAAAGGGTTTAGCAGCACTGAATCACTGAGTACTTTGACATTTACAAAGCAATTCCATAGGGCTCGCTATAGTTATAACAATGACTTAACTGTAGATTTGAGGCAGTAACATTCATACAACAATCAATTCACACACACAGGTACACAATGTACCCACCTCATTTCCTGTGCTTAAAGGAACTCGTCAACAAATTCCCCTCAGTGTCAGTGAGATGCTCACACCAAGTCCCTTTGCATTTCCCAACATGCAAGGGTCGCACCGCAGGAAGTGTGGAGGGGTGTGTGGCAGCTTTGCTGCCAGGATCAGTCCTCTGAGGATCTGTGAGCTCTGAGCATGTCCCACTCGAGGGAGGTGCTGCCACAGCTGCTGAGCCCCAGGAGAGCTCAAGGGGCCTCGCTCAGGAGCGCTGGCTACAGGGCCACAAGATGACTTGACTTTGGCCAGCAGTAAATGTCTCCCTGGCCACAACTCAACTCGGTAACTCCTGGGCTTTCTTCCCCAAAGCACAGGAGCCATGGTGCCCCTCCACTCGGGCTGTGATTCAGGTAAATAGTTTACCAAGGCTTCAAAGGATAATTACTTACCCTTTGTTTCCCACCTTGTTTGGGCACCTGAGGCTTCTGATTGGTTGCACCACCACAAGTACATATTATTTACAAACTATTCTAGGAAGATGTAATTCCATTCAATTATTCTCTCATTCTGAGTTTCTTCCATATTTTAATAAAATTTAAATTATCTGACAACTGGATACTGCGGTCTACCCTCAACGTATGTTTTCAGTATACAAAACCAGGTAATTAAAAAGAACCAACTTGTTAGCTGCTAGGGTAAACTCTGGGCATTCCCTCATTCCACAAGCACCCTGGGACATTGTGATAACAACACAGTCAACAGATTAACGTGCTGCACATGTCAAAAGAAAATATTCTACGGCTTTTGCAGTTTTCTAGACTTATGACATGAGGCAAGCAATGATTCAGGAACCCATAGAGCATTAGTCTAAGCATGCAGGTGATGCATTAATACCCACACCCCCATCAAAAAAGGGGGCTAAAAGAACCCTGAATCAGTATAGGCATGGAAGCAGTTCTCAGGGTATTGAGAAGTAAAACTAAGAACAATTCAAAGCAATTTTGCAAAAAAATCTTCACTTTATGAAATGCAAGAAAAAAACGAGGCTTTATTTAGCCAGAGGGAAGCTGCAGAATACCTACAAGATTGAACCAACAGGTCCCCAGGTATTGATTATTTGTAGGTCATTTGAATATCTATGGTTCTGCTATTTTGAGGCAGCTCTGTCCTTTACATTTCATAACCAGTTTTCATTTGGTTGGGTAGGAGGCACCAGGTGTTATATAACCTTTCTGGAGCCTGTATGTCAGTAACACCCAGGTACTATGCCCTACTCCAGTGTGGGGTGTATGTAGCCAATCCACTGGGGTGCATGAAGGAAATATTGGAACCTCAGTAATGCACATTCATAGTTGGCAAATATACGTATATACATTTGCAAATAATAACAGGATCCAAGAAATGCAATGCTGATGGAGCTGAAATATGTCGCTAATAAATGAGAACCTTCATTAACTACAAGATATTAAGAGCGCAAAAAATTTCCCCAAATCCAAACCACTTAAGCTGACAATAATTTAACCTCCTTGTTAGGCACTGGCAAAGCAAATTACACTTCATGCATAATGCTGATTGCAACAGAGCAAAGCTTGCCCTGAGATTACTTCTGGCTGAAGTGTTACATTCAGCTGAACACTGGTGATTCAAATCAGGTTACTCTGAAATAGCACAACTGTGTACAGGCACACCAAAAACCTAGCTAGCAAAACCTTAACACCTGCCACTGCAACCTCTTAGCCCTCATTTAATCTGAAAGTTCATTGAACTGTTAATAAAGGGATAGCTGAAAAGAACCATACTTACGAAATTGCAACATTGCTTCCATCAATAATTATATGTTTTAAATATGGTTTTCCAGGTTCATTTATCAACTCCAATTTGTATGGCTCCTTCAGAGAGTCCAAAAATCTTTGAACTCCAGTAACTGAATGATCTGGATGTGGTCCCAGTGTGTCTCTGTCTGGCTTTGAAGTGTGTTTTTGTGAAGACAGTAAGTGGTCTGGGACAGGATTGTCACAATGTGATGATTGGGAAAGGCGCTGGTGGAGAGGCCTTGCTTGAGAAGAGCTGCAGTGTCCCAGCTGCTCCTCAGAACCAGGGTGGTTGTTCTGTACAGTTGAGGGCCCTGCAGATTTTTGCTGAAATGTAGTTTTACTCTTACTTGAGATATGCTGCACATCTGAGCTCCCTCTGGCTACAAAGCCAACATCTTTTAGAGTTCCAGCATGCACAGTGCTGGAAGTTACCCCACCATCAGTTTCTATATTGCTTGACTTTGAGTTATGATTCTTACCAGGGCCATAAACATCTCTCTGTTTATGGCAGAGAACTGAATTTTTGCTGGGAGGGGAAGAAGATTCACATACCAATCTATGCATTTTATCTTCTGCACCAACTTGTGTGTCTGGAGCACCAATTATATGGTGATATTCATTTTTTATCTCCTTTGAAGTATGACTGGATTTAAGTGGACTTTTATTCCTAGAAATGCTTTTGTCTTCTAGCTTTTGTGAATTATTTACATTATTTCCTAAAGGGAGATTGACAGTTCCAGGCTTTTGAGATGACTGCTCATGTTCTTTTTTAAACTTCAAACTTTCCTTTTCAATTTCTTCTAGCAATATTAATGGTTCCACAGATTGTCCTAGGATACCAATAACTTTTTCAACAATATTTTTGGAATATCCCATTGTTCTGAAAAAGTTCACAAGAATCTTGTATTCCACTTCCTCAGTGAGAGCATCACCTTCTTTAAGGCAGTAAGTAGGACCATCTGATTCTGTGCAGCTATCCAAAACCAGATCAATAACTGCATCAGGGTCTGAAGAATTCTTGTGTAAAGCAGATTTCACTTGTGGATCATCTTCCAAAGAGAAATGCTTTTTAGGAAGCCTTTCCTCCTCATCAGAGGACCTCCTTTTACATGACTGCCTCTCTTTAAAGGCCACTGCCTCTAACAGAGGGTCCTTTATGGGAACAAATCCTGTTTCAGAATCATCAGAAAACACAGTGTCCATTTGCTTTGTAAGCTCGGTTACAGGTGTGCCAGCATTGCTTCTTGCTTCCTCCCCACCTGCACTTCCATCTCTCTTTGCAGCAATGACTTTGGAGGTGCTGTTCTGTCCAAGCTGCTGTGGGCCTTCAGAACCTGTGAGATCTATGATACCAGGCTCCCCTTCAGAAACAGCAGTTTGGGTGAGAGCTAGGAGTTCCCTTTTTAGTGCACTAGGCAAAATCAGTAAATCCATTGTATACTTATCTGCATGTGCTTCCACAAATTGTCTGAACTGCTTTTTAATCTCCGATTCATTGTCATTTAATAAGCTTTCATTATTCTCAAAAAGCTTCACAAACTGCTGCACATGACTTTGAGCCATAACAACAGCTTCTGCACCCCCCTTAATACTGAGAAATCCCATTTCCAGCACTGTTACATCAGCACAGGTATCCTGAATAAGACTGTTGAGAAACAGGCTCTGTGCACCAACGAAGATGCAGTGCATGTCCTTTGGGTAGTATTCTTTTTCTTCTAGCTCAGGTTCACATAGCCCCTTGATGTACTCCTAAGAGCAGAAAGAGAGCAGAGTGAATAGCTGTGAAAACCTAATATATACAGTTGGTTTTTACTAGGTCAGTAATGGACAGAAACATTAGAAAATAAAGCCAACTTAGCATAAGTCATGTCAGAAAGTAAACAGGACAACAGAAATAAAACACCAATATCTAAAATGATTTTAAATAGATCTCATAGAAGGCTCTTTTATATTCTCTCATTTATACCCGATAGTAACAGGTAACTTAATTTGTAGGTCAAACAGTTTAAAAGACTGTCAGAAGAGACTTATTTTCCTATTCTTTGGTCAAAGAGAACTCTTCATGAACAAATGCCTTTCACTAGAGTTTTACCTAGTCCATGAACCTGAACTTCTGAAAAGTTTCAAAGTACATTTCCTAAGGCTTATCATGCCAGCAGCCAGCCTATATTTTTGTTACTGACTGAGAAAACTCCAGGCTCCAGGTACTTCTGTGTTCCTGAAGTTCAAGATTTTCAAATAAGATTGAAAAAAAAAAACATCCCAATGTTATTTCTGCCACCTGTAAGCTAATTCACTATACTACCTTGTTTTAAATGCATCAAGAGCTCAAAACTCTGTGAATATAGTATACTATTTATTCTTTTAGATAGCATTAATTTTCCCAAACTACCTCCTTCTGTGCTTAAAATTCTTCACTAAAGTCAAACCAGCTTCTAAGCTGCAGTCATTGTATCTGCAGAATGCCAAGTACACTACATATATTTACTCTCAAACATTAATTTTTTTAAAATGGAGCTGAGAACCAACACAAGGTATGAATAATGTAACATCATTTCCTATCACCTCGAGTTACATCATCATGGGTATCAAGGCAGGCTGCCTCAGGAGCATATCAGCACAAACTGCTTCGGCAGCAAAACCCACAGGGTTACTCTCCACGCCTTACTCATCACATGACTGCTTATGCAGAGCAACAAGATAACATAATTGGTGAAAAGGATCCTCTAAATTTAGAAACTTCTGTTTTTAACTAAGTAGCAATGGAGAACCTATACATTATCTATGACTGAAAAATTATAACATACATTGTTACCACCAAACGTTTCAATGGAAGACAAGCAATTGTAGTTTCTGTACAATAATTAATCCAGACAGTGTCTGAAAACTGCTCTACCCATAGGAGAAATCACGTTTTTCATACCCCTTAAAGTATTGAGAGTAGAAAACATTTTTTTATCTTGTTCGGAAAGGCAGCAATTAGAAAATGGAAATCTTGTGCTATTTCTTTCTTGTGCTTTAATTTCCTAGAAAAAAGGGAAGTTGCAGATACCTGGAGAAAAATAGCTATCTGTAAGTTTCCCGATTCTCTGAGCCCAAGCAAATTGGTTTAGAGTAAATGTCAGAGTCAAATAATTCAAACCCCTATAGTCATAGTATTTTTCTTACAGCTCATTGTAAGGAAGTGCATTACATGTTGAGGAACACATGCATGACATAGTTAAGGAATAAAATTTTTGAAAGCAGGCTGCCAAGTCTGAAATCAGTCCCAGAACACAAGCTCCGGATCCCTGTGAACACCCAAGCGTAGTTAAACAACCAGACCGACCAATGTCCATATATCGAGATTTTGGGTTTGAAAGGGACTTTCAGCCTAGCTACTGCTCACACCAAAGTTCTCATCACATGATTCAAGCAGCTGTGCTTGCCAGGCTCATTATGAGTAATATCAATTTCAGCATCACTGCTGAGAAACGTTCCCCAAAGATTAGTTGTGCAAGACATTTAACATTCGTGACGACACTTCACAGCAACTGCTGCCCCCTCTGAGACACAGCCCGCACAGGCCGTTCTTTTAACGCGTTAGAGCGGGCTTGAAAAGCGAACTGTCTGCTCCAGACTGGTCAGGCTGTTCGGGTCTGACAACTTTTACCTGGAGGAAATACTAACTGCGTTAAGCTTTAGTAAGAGCTTCGCCAGCGAGCTACAAAATGCCACAGAATAAGCAGAAGTCTGCAAGGCAAACCATGCAACGCCCAAACAGCTCCGAGGAATTTCTTGATTTGGGAGGAAGAAGGAAAGCAAAACTTTTAAATCTCGCTTTAAAACAAAACTCGGCCCATCCCCACCAGTGCTACACCTTAGCGCGGGCCGGACAATTTCACAACGCGGTGCCCGTGAACTCTGCACTTCCCAGAGGAGTTGTTTCGCTTTATTCCCTGGGTTAAGTAAACACGGAGACTCCCTGGCACCGGGCACACACCCATCTGCCAAGGCAGCGCTGTTTCTGTTTCCTCCTGAGGCACCCGGCTTATCCCCGCCCTTTCTCCCTCCGCCCCGCGGCCGCACCGGTGCGGCGCCTCTCCGCACGCAGACCCCGCTGTACCTTGGCTCTGCTCACGGCCTTCGTGCGGCCCGCCAGCTGCACCCAGATCCTGGCACGGGCGTTGGGCGGCTGCAGCGCGGGCCGCCAGTCCCCCTGCGCCCCCAGCACGGCCAGCCGCACCTCGAACAAGCCCTCGATGCGGCCCCGGCTGCGCTCCAGCAGGCTGCTCTTCTCGGCGGGGACGGTGAACTCGTCCAGCCCGGGCCCCGGCGCGGGGCCGTGCGGTGTGCGGCGGGCCGCCATCAGCGCGGGGCGCGCGATCCCACCGCAGCAGGAACAGCGACACCGGGAAACGCCGCACCGACCGCCCGCGTCATCGGCCCGCGACGGCGCCGGGCAGCGCCCGCCCGCAGCGGCGCCGCCATGGCTGCACCGGCGGCTCGGCCCCGCCCCCGGCCCCGGCCCCGCCCCGCCCCCGCCTCCGGCCCCGCCCCCGGCCGGCCCGCCCCGCCCCCGGCCCCTCGCAGCCCCGCCCCCGGCCCGCCCCTGGCCCGCCCCAGCCCCGGCCCGCCCCGCCCCTGGCCCGGCCCAGCCCCGCCCCTCCGCGCCGCCGTGTGGCCGGGCCGGCCGCCCCTGAGGGCCGCGTGAGGGGCAGGGCGGGGCAGCGGAGCTCCCGCCCGGGCAGGGCCATCCCGGGGCACCGGGCGCAGGATTGCGCCCCGGCTATCCTGGGCAGCTCCGCACCGCACCGCACCGCCTTCCTGAGCAACCTGTTCCAGTGCGCAGCCACTGCACAGGAAAGAAATTCTTCCTCACATTCAGGTGGAACTTCCTATGCATCAGTTTCACCACCGAGCAGAGCCTGGTCCATCCTCATAGCACCCCCTCTTTAGATATTTATACACATCAATGAGGTCCCCTCTCAGTCGTCTCTTCCCGGGGCTGACCAGGCCCAGCTTCCTCAGCCTTTTCTCTAAGAGCGACGCTCCAGTCCCTTGACCAGCTTTGTCACCCTCCGCAGGCCCCGCTCCAGGAGCTGCACAGCCCCGGCCGCGCATCCTGCGCCAGCTCCCGCCCCTGGTGCTGAGGAGCCGCGCACTGCACAGAGCCCTCCCGGGCTCCCTATCCCCGCTCCCGGGCTCCCTATCCCCGCTCCCGGGCTCCCTATCCCCGCTCCCGGGCTGCCTATCCCCGCTCCCGGGCTGCCTATCCCCGCTCCCGGGCTGCCTATCCCCGCTCCCGGGCTGCCTATCCCCGCTCCCGGGCTGCCTATCCCCGCTCCCGGGCTGCCTATCCCCGCTCCCGGGCTGCCTATCCCCGCTTCCGGGCTCCCTATCCCCGCTCCCGGGCTCCCTATCCCCGCTCCCGGGCTCCCTATCCCCGCTCCCGGGCTGCCTATCCCCGCTCCCGGTCCTTCCCCGCCCCTCGGCTCCTCTCATCCCTGTCCGAGTGTCCCGGGAGACTGCGAGTGCTCACCGCAGCTCTTATCGCCCGGCGCAGCCCTTGGTGAAACACACTTTTGGCACCAGCCAGTAGGTACTGCCTGCTTGGAGTTCACTTAAAAGGAAGTGCAAGCTTTATCCCTTCTGATGGCAGGGGGCAGAAGTGTAGCTCCGATCCCCAAATCTTTAGCTCTGATAGCTCGGAAAATATAGAGGACACACTTTTACTTCCCTCTCCCCCCAGCCCCCCCACCACCCCCAAGCTGTTAAAGAGACGTGAAGGATAAGATTAGGTCTTAAAAAGTATCTCTGGGACTGCTGTTGACTTTAGTGTGCCTGGATCTGACAGTATGGGCCAGCTGTTGTACAAAGGAGTAAATGTCTCCTTTCATTCCATCCCAGACACAGGTTAGTATCTTCCAAGTTCCCCTTGGTACTATTTGAGTCCTACTTGTTTTGGCCAACTCTTTAGCATCACTGTGAAATTAGATTTTAGCAGCTGTTCATTAAATACAGCCTCCAAAGGGAGAACAAATATTTTATTGTTGTACATTTAAATGTGCATATTTTGTTTTAATCTACTAGTATGTTAAACCAGGAAAGGCTTAATATAGAAATATGAAATATCATTTTTATAAAGCCACTTATATCCCTATTAGAACTTTTAAAGCAAATGACAGTTTGCAGTTCTTAGCCCATAGGAAAATCTTGCTAAAAGCTTATGTTCAGGTATTGCTATCTACACTTTCCAATCTGAATTTAAAGTCATTATTTGAGCCAAATAAGATATTTGTCTGTGACAGTGGTAAAAAAAAAAAAAAATCAAAATTGTACACAGGCATTTGTACACAAACATTCTGCACAGGACAGGGTTTTCACAGGGAATGTCATATTTAAGAAGGATGCTTCCCCTGAACTACTTTTCCGAAGACAATATTATTTCCCCTCTTTTTGTTGTTTACACGTTTGCATTTTGCTTTCACATTTGAATTATGCTACAAGGTTCACACTTAAGAATGTAATCTAACTTTTAGGGAGATAATTTCTGAGGTGATTGGTGCCATCCACTGTTACAACACAAACACTGCAGCCAATGTTGCTTTTAGCTATTATTACTTACAAATGACATTATAAGCAAGGAACTTCATAATAAAAATTAAATTACTAGCATTTTGAGACACAAAATATCATTAAAAAGCTGAAAGAAAATTTATTTCCACCACATCAACATGGTCTTTTGGAATCTCTCATATAACAGAAGGCTTACTGACTTCTAAATGATGTGGATAATGCTTGGTGCTGTGAATATTTTCTTGTCTTTTTTTGCCATGCTTATAAAACACGTTTGCACTGCTGAATTTATTATATAAGTGTAATTCTAGGTTTAGTCCTGATAAATCTGTATTCAAATGCATTATAGTGGTCTGAGGCTGCTCTCAGGGAGGTTGCTATGAGTGTGAGCAGTTGTGGCTCTGTGACCCAGCCTGCTGAGATTGGGTAGTACCTGACATTGTAACATTCAAGGCAAACTAAAGCCCTGTTGAAGTGGAAAAAAAAAGATGCTATGGAAAAGGTTTACTAACGATTATATACATGGGACAATTATTAAAACAAGTTGGAACTTTCTCCCTGCATTGTTGTGATGCGGACTAGAAAAAATATAATATTTTTACTTTTTTTTGTTTTTGTTTTTGTTTTTGTTTTGGAATGCAACCTTAACTTAATCTTCCTCATACTTAGGAGAAATTTCAAGCCTCTTGCCATAAGCACAAATGCAGGTGTACAGACCCTAAATGGGAGCTAGGTTGAGAACACTGGAAATTCTCTGACATCTTACAACAGGCTGCTTACAAAGTGGATTTGTTGGGAAAGAATTATTTTGTTTCCCTCCTATAAGAGGAATTTATTTTGCAGTAAAATATCCTAAGTGACAGGCTCTGTTCAGTTGCAGGGGAAATTTCACTTTCCTGGATCTTTGGTTGTATCTTGTAAGTTTATTTTAGAGATGGAAAAGTGCAATATTTTGCTCGTAGCAGTTGCAGGAATTTGACACACCCAATGCCTGGTCTTGCTTTTCTGCTTGGCACACCTGCGAATATATTAGAGATTTCCCTGAATGTGAGTTGATGCCAAGTTTATTATTTGCATTACCGTTGGGGAAATACTGTAATGATGATGTGTAAATAGGTGTGGGGTTTTTTTCATGTTTTGCAATAGCTTGCTTCAGCTGCCTGGTGCACCTGCTTGCTCTTTATTAGAATTTTTGCAATCGAAAATTGGTTGTGTGAATGATTTTATGAAACTGGGCCTTCCTGAGTATTTTGGGTTTGGGCTCCTTGAAACAGGAGCTGTACTGGTTGGAACAAGGAGGAAAACGAATTTCCAGGCTGTCTTTCAGACTCGTACTGCATAAAAGAGCTATGCAGTCTATGAACACAATTTACAGATGGTGCTTTGATCCTCAGTATTATGGTCTTCAGTGAGGTTATTTGCATGCATAAATTTAAATATTTGGTTGATTGCAGGATGTGGACTTAAAATACTAGAGTATAAGAAGTATCCTGCATTAATGTGAATAGCAAAAACTTTAATTTGCAGTCAGCACAAATAGTAGTGTATTCTAAGAATGATACCTCAAATAAATTCTATGTATTTCAGAAGGAAAGATATAGAAATAACGTAACTAGAGCCCTCAAACTTTGTGTGTAATATTGTCCTAAAGCGTAAGGCAACCCCAAATTCTTATTATGAAATATTGGTATATTTTTTAACTAAAATTTTTTGGTTGTTTTTGTTGTTTCAGAACTACAGAGAAAAAAGCCAGAATGGTTTGAAATTGAATTATTTAATATTGCTTTATAGAAATAAATTTTTACATCTTGTTCAAGTCCCCAATTATAGTAACGATGTGACAGACATTTACATGTGCTTGAAGCCCTGGTGACTAAGAAGGTGATTAAGAAGGTTTCCCTTTTGGAGAATTTGTTGCAATGAACCTATAGATCATCAAGTTTCGTATCAAGAGGCATACTTTGTCAAAAGGATCCAAAGTATAGGTTCTCTAATTAGTAGTTTCCCTAACCAAAACTTATTATATCCCTTAACTTTAACTTATTCCATTCCTTGATTACTTCTCTTAATTCCAATTTCCTTTCAAAATAACCTGTTGTAAATAATCGAGGCTTTGTAAAAGAAATAAAGACAAAAGTACTGCAATTATACATGCATCAATTGTTAGAATGGGTAGGTTTTTTTTTCAAGTAATGCACTCTGCATTTGGTTTTTGAGGCTTTTTGAGTGTGCTGGCTCAAGTTTTTTAATTAGTTGCAAAAAGCTGCAGGTGTATTGGCAAAGACTGTTATTTAGCCTGGGAAATGTTCCAGGAGACAATTTTGTGGGGCCTTTTTCTAATGTAAATATTTAGCTATATTATTACCAGTAACTTTAAAGGTACCACACTGTGTGACTACTGTGTATTTAAACATTGCACCTTCACTTGGATGACTGACAGAACAAATGATAACCTAAGAGTACAGTCTTTATTGTGAGAGGGTTTGAACACTACTGGATTACTTGCAGAAATGCCAATCTGAAGCGGTGTCAGCACCATGCAGCTGGCTCTGAGCAATGCAAAAATTAAGCAATGTTTAAGTGCCACTCTAAGTTAGTTTAAAATAGAGTACTTTGTCAAAGTTTCTGCAACTACAAAAAATTCAAGCAGCATTCTTGCTAATCTTTCTAAATTCTAGGGATTTCATAAAGCTCTTTCAAATAATTTTTTACAGGTTATCAAAAGTGAGACTCTTTAACATCATTAAGGTTTTATGACTCTTGCAGCCAAGTGTTTGGTTTTTTAAAATTTTTCATTTTTCATAAATATTTTGCTACTACTCTGACTACTGGAATTTAATTTTATTTTCTTTTTTTTTTTTTTTTTTTTTTTTTTTCTTCCCTGTAAAGCACTAGGTATGGTTAATTGCTGAGCAATGCCCTTGCGTGTGCTGT